AGGAATGCCATTTGGATAGCAAAACGGCACACAGTAAAATGTTAAGAACACCCTGAAGCTGAAAGAGAAATTAAGACCTGGAGGAGGGGGCAGAGGTACCTTTTTGAAGTTGACATACTCATTAAATTACTGACTTCTTTATTTTTAGGTGCACATGGATGAGTGTCTTCTCCAATGTCATGAAGAAATGCCCTTTCCAGGAACTGGGCCTTTGAGCTGAAATGGCTGCATTCGGGGAAAACAAAAATCAAAAAACTCTGCTTTCCAGCTCCAGCCAACGGCGACTTCTGGACTGATATCCATAAAAGAATTCATTCAAAGGCACAGTTGTTCTCAGCAGCCCCCGAGGTCTCTCATGAATTCATCCTCTTGGGGAAAGGGACACATACCACCCAAGGAAATGCCAAACTGGTTTTATTGTACCCCCCTGCCCATTAAACAAATTATCGGGGATTTAAATACACACAGACACACACACACGCGCAGACTCTCTAGCTGGACTGTTGTTGTTTGTTTGCAAACAGATGCACTGGGGTCCCCTTTAATTAGATTCCAAGAAGCTAGAATCTGTGTTCTGCTGGCTCTCTCTCAAAGTGCCTGGAAGGGAGCAGACCTGACAAGTATCATTTCTTTTGTCAAATAATCCCAAGTTGATCTTAAGCCTTACAGAATAAAATCAGATCGCCACGCTACCTTAGAGAGAAGGAAAGCAAAATGATTTCCATTATTAACTCACCCAGGTTGCAAATGCAGGGAATGCGCTTTGCAGAAATGTAAGATGATTCTTATCAGCTTTTATCCTCCCAATGTCCCTTTTTCGGCCTTTTAAAAAGGCAGTTTGCTCGGTGAGTAGGATTAGGTTCCTCTGTGGTCTAGATCTTGTTCACTCTATCAGTGGAAATAAAGGGAGTCCAGCCCCCCTGGAAATTACGGGCTCCATTAGGAAGAAAAGAAATTACTTACAGAGCAGCAAATTCTGTAAATTTGTAATTCAGATCTTAGCCCTGGCCTGAATGCCAGTCAGGATCCAGCCCTTTGCATAAATTGGTTTTCTGGGGAGCTTAACTCTTTCGCCTCTGTTTCCCTTCCCCAGAAACCTATTCACTGAAGCCTCTCTATCCCCTGGCCCTTTAACTAGCCATAGCCCGTGCCTGGGCAGCAACCCGTGCAATTTCACAGAAGTAAGGGTAATAATAATAAGGCCTTACATTAACACACTTCACAGTTTATAGACTGCTTTTTGAATACATTATCTAATTTAAAGCTGTATGCCCCTAACCGAACTTAATTGCCTCCTTTGTTATATTTTATTATGAGGGGGACTGGTGTGCACCTGTATGGCTTTTTTTTTCCCCCAAAGGCGCACTTCTTAACAAAATGGCCTCCAGCTGGATCTCTGGCAATGATTGCTCATTGATCACATGATTTATTCTCGTCGAAGGACATTTCCCTTTAAATCTGGCCACAGCCGTGAGTTCCAAGACCTGGGGTCCCACAGTCTCTAGCCGGGTTCTTTTCCCTGACTGCCCCACCAGGAGGCTGGGCTGAAGCAACTCTTTAAGAATATGTTACTCTTAAGTAACTTATAGAAATTGGTCAAGTTGAATGAAGAGAACTAGAATAAGAGGGCCAGACCGGGTAAGTCAATTGCCTTCTGTGATTCTCAGTCCCCCAAACAAAGGTAAAGTTGGTTGTTGGTTGGTTTTTCCATTCTTATCAGCTCAGTCTTGGAAGAAGCTTGAGGAAGGGTAGTGTGATTGCAAACCGTTTAAGTTGGTGTCATTGCCAAGCATGTAAGTCACCCTCACCAGCCCACCACGCTCTACAAAGCAGCCTTGCCTCTCCCATCTCCACACCCAACTAGAGGAGAGGGCAAGTGACTTACCTCGTCAGTTTCCTCCCTAAACAGGAGGATAATAAAAATGCCAACTTCATGGAGTTGCTGTGAGCATGGAGCAAGGCAAA